CACGAATAACTGTCGTGAATTGCAGCTCGCAAACACATTTCCGAGGCCGTTAATCAGCCGATTGCCGAAGCACATCGGCTAAGATCGCCGTTTGCCTAATAAATGCATTTAACCGCTGCCAGTGTTTCGGTTGTTATCGACGCGGCTTCACTGGAGCAGCAAATACGTAAAAAGATTGCTTCACTGGAGCACCAAATACGTAAAAAAATTATACGGTTTCACTAGAGGAGTAAATACGTAAAAAAAATAATATTAATCATCGTTGTTGGTGAATTATTATTAACAGTTTATGTTTAATATGATAATATGGCAGATTTGAAATAAAACTATATTAATTATTCTTTAATAATTAAGATTTGCTATGGTTGTTTGGTAGTTCTGCAGCTCAGCAGCACATAAAGAAAAGCCGCCACTGAGGTAAAGAAACACGTTTTGTAAATTTATGAGGTTAGGAAATTGAATAATGAAATAGGACTCACTTGTTTTTGCATCAAAATTATTTTAATCTTTCCATCTGGATCGTACGGACCAAACTTTATTTAGAATTGAATTGAATACGTTACACACTTTTTATTTACTGAACTACAATTAAATTAACATTTGAAACATTAAATAAAATAAAACAAAATGGAGTGTATAATTTCGAAGTGGCTTGTTTGATGGTCGCTAGCTAAGAGAGAGACTTGTTAAAGTTGACTGCGTATGGTTGGCTGGAATACCATGTTGCCACGTTGATTTAAGTTTTCTCCACTGCTCTTTTGATAACTTCAATATTAATTTCTTCAATATTTCTACGCAGTAACTAAATTTTTCTTATCAGAGTGAAATCCTATTATCAGACCTAGTAGCAAATTTCTAGGAGGGTTATGGAGATAACACCAGTACTAAAGAGAATAATAAGTACTGTCTGTGTCTTCTCCATTCTACATGACCTCCTTATTTTCACTTTCAGATCACTGTACTTGGCGTTGTATTTAACACGAAGATTATCATTATTAGGTATCTCCACATCAATTTATTGTTGTTTGTTTAGTTAATGACTTAACTCTTTATGGTCTATTATATACCACCGGTTGGTCTGTGAGCACAGTGTGGCTCCAGTTTAATTGAAGTTGTCATTCTCAAGCATATGTACTCTTAGGACGTACTGATATTTTTGGAGATGAAAAAGCATAAATATGTTTCTTTTTTTTTGGTATGTACCTGGTTAAAAGACTGAGTCGATGATCAAAACTGCTAAATTTGGCATACTGATGTTGTCGATAGCCGAGCTTTTCTTGCTGAGGTTTTTCACCTTGTAATAGCAGCGGAAAATATTTTCATAGTTGATCAGTTACTAACTATCGTCCATAACTCACTTAAAAAAACATTATTAGCTAAAACTCTGTCTTTATGAAGCTACTGTTTAGCAAAATATTGTTTAGCAAGAGACTAATAAAATAAGCAAATACAGTAGAAAGCAGTAAAAAAGCAGTAGTTGTTTTATATTTTTATAACTTTTTACACACATTTAATAAACTATATACGAGAATTTGGGGTTAAACAACTAAATCTGTTTTGAAAATCTCAACTTTAATATCGTCCTTCCATCCCACTCCGTGTAGTATGTAAGATTGTAAGATAAGTGATCCTTTATACCGTCGTTTCTAATCTGATCTTCGAGAACACATTCTTTGGCTGAGCTTAAAATGTTTACTCTTGTTGAATTAATTCTTCTTTTATTCTCTAAAACTTTTATGCCCATTTTTAATATATATATATATATATATATATATATATATATAATATATATATATATATATATATATAATAATATAATATAAAATTAGCATTTCTTGGGTTTAGGTTCAATAAAGATATGTTACATGTGGAACTAGATTTTATTTTCCATTGCAATCAATCAACGATTCGGCAGAAAACCCTTGCCTTTGTCAAGATTCTAAAATGTGTATATATAAGGACAAACAGATATTGTAAAATATGTATGTATATATATATATATATATATATATATATATATATATATGACTTACCAAAACGTAAAACGTGACACAGACATTAACGAACTAATGTCTGTGTCACGTTTTACGTTTTGGTAAGTCATATATATATACCTATACATATTTTACAATATCTGTTTGTTCCCATATATACACATTTTAGAATCTTGACAAAGGCAAGGGTTTTCTGCCGAAACGTTGATTGATTGCAATGGAAAATAAAATCTAGTTCCACATGTAACATATCATATTGAACCTAAACCCAAGAAATATTAATTTTATATTAAATATAATACGGTTCAAGAAACTCAAAACTACTATATATATATATATATATATATATATATATATATATATATATATAATATATATATATATATATATATATATATATATATATATATATATATATAAGAGTAAGAAAAAAGAAGTACTTGTGACTCGTTTGGAAAAAATATAACACTGTTTTTGATGGGTTGGAGTCAATAAAAGGGGCTATTTGTTGACTATTTTTTACTCGAGCTTTCAATTGTGATTACAATTTTTATCAAGAGCTTCTAAAAAATACAAAATGTCTTACAAAGTTGAACTAGGAATAAAAAATTCCTATTCGCAAAGTGCTTCTCAAGTGGGAGTCTTGGGTACAAGGAGTTTTACACAAAATCCTACCGTGAGTAATGCATAAGGCGCTTCATTTATGATATCTCTAGTGACTTATCTTCAATCTGAATTGCTTGCTCGGGCCTCGAGTCCTCGCTCTGGGCTCGAACCTTCAGGATGGAGATCCTTCTTGCCTATTTTTGGGTTTTTTTATTTTTTTTTTGTAACTTTAACTTATGTAATTAACTTAAGTAACTTTTTTTTTAACAAAGCCGGTTTTTATGTGTTTTACAACATTAATAAATACACTACGATGTCAAAGGTAAGCGCGTTGTCGTCTTTTGATAGAGGTTCGATTATTTAGAATTTTTTATATGTTTGCTAATATTTGCTGTTTGGGTCTTCTGTGCTTCCATCTATGGTATACTTTCTACCTTTATATCTCTTGCAGGATTCGTTTTGGGTGGTCTTCTAGATCAGCGAATTTTATTTTGGCTTTTTCCTCCATCTAATATACATTTGTAGGTGTCCGAATATGGACCGTTCAGCGACTTATATGAGCATATTTGCAACCTCTATAAAGCAGTTGCTGTATGCTGCTTAATCTTATTTTTGTTTCAATGACTTGTGTGTCCCCATGCAAGAGATGCATATGTAATTATTGATAGAATGATGCGATGCCCATGATGCCCATCTTAGTTATATTTTTATAGCTAACTTGCTTCTCATTTCTGTAACTCCTCTTATTGCGACTCTGGCAGTTGTTCTTTTCTAGACTGTTCGGTTAACATGTGGTGTTAATATTAGACCTTGGTGTAATTCCTAGGTATTTAGTTTCGTGTTGAAATTCAGTGGGTCTGTCTCGAATTTTTAGATGTTCTTCTGGATTATCTCTTCTCTTTTTGAACATAACTGCTTGTGTCTTTTCTGTGATTATGGTCGTCTACATAAAGGTAAAGGTAATAGTATTCTGGGTGTGTACTTTAATTTCCGGGATATCACACTCACTCAATCGAAGGCTTTGCTTATTGCTTGTATCGAAGAAGTCTCCTTCTGTATATTGCTTTTACACGAATCCAGCTGCTATATATTCTGTAAGTCTGAGTACCTGTAGTTCGCTGAAATGTTGGGCTCCAAATCCAAATTATGCTTCTAGAGTTAATCCTAGCCTGTCTGTCTCTGATTGGAGTCAGGTTTGGCTGGCTCGCTCTACTACCTTACTCACTACTGAAAGTAAGCTAATCGGCCTGTTTTTTTGCAGAAATATGTGGTTCTTTCATGGCTTTAGTACCATAATTACATGGGCTACCTCCCATTGGTTTGGGAAGAACCTATATCTCAGTATTTCATTTGTTATGTTTGTCAAATATACAATCGCTTTCGAATAACGAGATGTTAAAGCTCTGTTTCTGATTTTGCCTGGGCGTTTCTAGTTCAGTTTCTTCGATAAAAGACCACTTAGAAACTATACTCTAAACAATATTAGTGAAATGTTCATATACAACAGCGTCATGTACATTTAGCACTACAGGTTTTAAGTGCACTGTTAAATAATAGGTTCTTTAATCTCAAAGGGAAAAGTTAAGCGTTTGTGCTATTTTTATTACAAGAGTTCAAACAATAATACTTTTTGGTTCTATTAAAAACGTAAGTAAAAAAAGAAATATTCTTAACTATAATTATGGTTTATTTCCAAAAAATTATACTGGACGTAAAAATGCCTCCAAAAATAGTTTTAGATAAATATTGTTAGAACACATTGTAATTAGCAAACTAACTTGGAAACTGTTTGGTTATTAAAATTAGGTAACAAATGTTAAAAAAAACTTCTGAAAGTAAATAAAAAATCTTTAAAATTCTTTTGCATGTTCCAATAAAATAAATCACATGTATTGATAAAATAGATAAAAGTTTTAAAGAGGGATTTTATTATTAGTTAATAAGATCATAGTATCATAAGATTGAAATTTTTTGCTATAAAAATTCACCACATATAGCATAATAATTATATTATTCTGACTTAAATTTTTAAACACATTGTATTTTATGGAGTGAATTTCTACGAATAAAAAATGACGGAAAAGGATTAAAAAGGAGTAAACGAGGAGCGCGACTGTCCAGGATAACGTAGAATCCTGTCAAATAGCTCTCGATGCGTCTCCCGATCCTCCGTTTAGTTTGCTATCAGCACCTCATCCCTACGCCAGCCAAATTCAAATCATTCTAAACTCAACACCATTATTAAAGTTTTAATACTTCGTCATATTCATACGCATATTAAAAACTTCAATCGTGAATGTTGTGAACTTTTTGTGTTATTATTAGAATGCTTTGCGTGGCAGAACTTTTCTCCTCGGTATGAAAGTTTTGCTGTTATTGCGCTCGAAGAATTAAATAAAAATGAACAACTTGCGCGAAAAAATGGCTTCACATATTTATGAGAACTTACCTCTTAAAAAACTTAATAAAAATTTAAGTGAATTATCTAGATCGAATAAATTTGCATTTCCAGACGAACAGAAGCGAAAAGTTACCAGTCCAGAAATTCAAGATTCTTTGGAAACTCTTCTTGAAACTAAGTCTGTCGCAAAGGCTGGCAAGAAAAGTGAAAATCCAAAAGATTTTGGAAGCACGGAAACCATTAAGGCAAATAATGAAGAGAAAAGTTGTAGTAACCAAAATGGACAAAACAAGAAAATTCAGTCTACTCCATTATCGACATTAGATGATGGGTATGGTTCTTCAAACAGTACACCACAAGTATCAGGCAAGTAGAGCAGATTAATATTCGTATATATTATTTGTCAAATTTTTTTGTCAACTATGCATTTGAAAATTATGTTAATATGGAAAATAGTTATTATATTTAAAACTTGAAATCATATATTATTCAATCATGGAATGACGAAACTTTGTTTTTAACATAGCATTAAAGATACATATCCATTAGAACCAATCAATACATACATATATATATATATATATATATATATATATATATATATATATATTATATATATATATATAGAGTAAGAAAAAAGAAGTACTTGTGACTCGTTTGGAAAAAAATATAACACTGTTTTTGATGGGTTGGAGTCAATAAAAGGGGCTATTTGTTGACTATTTTTTACTCGAGCTTTCAATTGTGATTACAATTTTTATCAAGAGCTTCTAAAAAATACAAAATATCTTTCTTACAAAGTTGAACTAGAAATAAAAATTTTTTTGTTAACTCACCAAATAAAATTAGTTTTTTATATAAAACTACTGCTTACATATTAAATACAAAAAATATTAATAAAAAATGTCTTATTCTAATAAATGTTTCTCTGAAAAATTTTAGATGAAGTAAAATTTTTATAATTTTTTTAAAATTTTTCAGAGAAACATTTATTAGAATAAGACATTTTTTTATTAATATTTTTTGTATTTAATATGTAAGCAGTAGTTTTATATAAAAAACTAATTTTATTTGGTGAGTTTCTAGTTCAACTTTGTAAGACATTTTGTATTTTTTAGAAGCTCTTGATAAAAATTGTAATCACAATTGAAAGCTCGAGTAAAAAATAGTCAACAAATAGCCCCTTTTATTGACTCCAACCCATCAAAAACAGTGTTATATATATATATATATATATATATATATATATATATATATATATATATATATATATAAATTGTAGCTCTTTTATGATCCATCAAAACCTGGAAATATCAACTTCATCTTGACTTCATAACTACAATCATTAATAAGCTGATTATGTAAATGATACAGATCTGTCCTGTAAATTTTTATATGGAACATAAATTATTATGCTATAACTTGAAAATATAAAACCATTTACACATGATGATTGTGAATGTAATATTATATCCACATATTTAATCATGGACTAAAGAAACTTTTTTACTTATATACTAAATCTAAAACGTTATAACTCTTATATACTAAACGTTAAATTAAAGAGAATTATTTCGTTACCCATTAGTTCCCAAGATTGAAAAAAACACAAATTGTTTTTTTATTGCATGTTATTGCTAAAAATATATCAGAATATTTATCAATTAAAAAAAATGAAAGTTCTTTGAAATGAAAGTTTTTTCAAATATATATATATATATATATATATATATATATATATATATATATATAATATATATATATATATATATATATATATATAGGGTGGTCCTTAAGTAATTATACAAAACAAACCGTAGATTCTACGGATTCTATCAGAAATTATAATTTGATGCATACTTTATTGTAGCTGATAGAGGGCGCCACATATGCCACGTATGTGGCATACATTTGCACTTAACTTTTTTGCACTTTAAGTTACCGGTGTTTGCGATAAACAATATTAAAGATACATCATTTTAACAAAAAAAGGTATACTTGCTAATAACTTCAAAACTCGAAACTTCGAAACAGTTTTCGACATAATCGCAGTCGTAGTTCAGTGTCGTTACTTTAAGAGCTTGACGTTGCCAAATAATTTTGTAAGAAGGTTTTTATTGTGGTGTCATATTGCAGTTTATTATTTTTATTACGAATAAGGTACAATGTGACTTTAAAATATAAGCTTATTTTGATGTTTAGATTTCCTGTTCGGAAACCGTACTTAAAATACGAAACATTATTAAATTTTATTTACATAAAACGATTTCCGAAGTGGAAATCAAAATGTTAAATTAAACTTATTGTTAATTTTTATTTCTCCATATTGTTTCATTTTGGCAGCCTGCAGCTCTGTTTGCTCTATTTACTTGATCTTCCACTTCGGTCTCGAGCTTTCCGTAGCTAGATAATGTAATGCCTAGATATTTAAACGCCATCACTTGTCCTATTATCTGACCTTCTAGCTTCAATTTACATCTTAGTAAATTTGCTCTTGTAACCATGCATTTTGTCTTTTTTGGGGAAATTAGTATGTTTGGGAAATTTTCTGACGGTTATATTAAATTGGTGCAGCATACGTTGTAAATCATCTTCACTTTGAGACAGTACTAGTATTTCGTCGTCTGCATAGCAGATTATTTTAAGTTGTTTTTCTACCATTTGATATATTTTTTTAATTCTTACCTTGTTTTTATTATTTTATCCGTAATCAGGTTGAACAATAGGGGACACAATGAATCTTCCTGTCTCACCCCATTGTCATCTTCAATAGGGTCGGTTAGTTCTTTTCTACCTTTACTTTTATTGTGTTGTTTTGGTAGATATTTCGATCGTTTTGATTATTCCTAGAGGTATCTCTCTTACATAAAGTAAGTGAATAACGTCCTCTAATTTGACCCGGTCAAATGTCTTTGTAAGGTCCACGAGACATACATATGCCGGATTGTTGTATTCTAATGATTTCTTTTGCACTTGCCTCATTATAAATCTAGAGTCAGTGCATAATCTTTCCGACCTAAAACCTTGTTTTTCTTCTGCTAGTGTTCATCATTTCATTCAATTTATTTGTTATCACTTTGGTTGTCAATTTTAGTGTTGTGTTTAATAAATAAATTTCTCTGTAATTTTTCGGGTCCGATTTGTCTCCCTTTTTAAAGAGAGGCATGAGGATGCTTGATCTCCATTCTTGAGGAATTTTGTTTTGTTCTATTATTTTTTGATTAGTTTTAATAGTTTAGTTGTTTGATTAGATCTGGTCCTTCGTACTTTAGGAGTTCATTCGGTATTCGGTCCTTTCCTGGAGATTTTCTATTTTTTAATTTCCTTAATTTTTTCTTTACCTTTTCCTCCTCGATATTTATTTCTTCGTTTGTCGTTACCTTTCGTGTTGGTGGTTCATTATAGTTACCTTTAGCAAACAGGGATCGAATGTAGTCTACCCATGTCTCCTTCTGAATGTGTTTCGTTTTTATTAGTTCGTTCATATCTTTACTTTGTCCTCTGATCATTCACCATATTTCTTTTTGTGTTACGTAGAAGTAGTGTTCCATCTGTTTTGGAAAAATCTGCCAGTGTTCCTTTTTTATCTGATTAACTTAAATATTAGTTTCATTTCTAATTCGTTTATAGTGGTCGTATGTCGGTTGTGTTTGTTGTGTTCTGTATTGTAACAAGGCTTTGTTATTTTCTTCACATTTTGTCTTCACTTCCTCTTTAAACCATGGTGTTTTCTTTTTTGATATGTTAGTGTTCGTTATTTCCCTCTCTCCAAGTGACTCTGTTGCTGCGTTAATTATGGTATTTTTGAATTTTTTCCAGCTTTCCTCGATGTTACTGTTTTCTAATATTTCATTCCAGCGATCTTCTCTGATATTATTTTTCTGTATAAGTATTCCGTGGATTTCGTATTTAGTCCTTCGACTTTAATTTTTGTTGATGTTGGCTCCGTTTTTTGGGTGTGAAGTATTTCAGGATTTTTCTTATTTTACATAATACTAGACTGTGGTCGCTACCTACATCTGCTGAGTTGCTGATCCGTCTTACGTCGATTATTTTTAATGGATGTATATCTCTGTTGGTTATAACATAATCTATCATAGATCTTTGTCCACCAGTGTTATTAAATGTATATTTGTGTTGGTCTTTGTGGTGAAAAAATGTGTTGTTTATTCTTAGTTCGGTATTCGTTGCCTATTAGAGCATTAAAAACCCATATATTATCATCTTTCCTTTGATTTGATCTATTAGTTGTTGTAACTGGTCGTAAAACGCTTCCCTTGTTGTTTGAGGATAGGTATTTTCTGGGTCGTATACTCCGATTTGCTTCAGTTCTTCCTGTTCCATTCTTATCTTTGCTGTTACTATTCTTTCTGATATGTATTGACACTCTTTGATATGGTTTTGGTGCCTTTGGTGTATTAGTAAGGCTACACCTTCTTTCACCCTATTTTCTTTTGCTACTATACTGTAGATTAGTATGAATTTACCTAATGACCTTTTCCTTTCTCTTTTGTTTCCTGTAGAGCACAAATGTATATTTCTTTCTTTTTTACCACTTGAGTTATTTCTCCTTGAGGTCCTTGAGGTCCTTTGAGTTGAGTAAGCTGATATTCCAAGTATTGATTCTCATCTGGGTTTTGGATGTTTTTTTTATAGCAAATCCGGTTCCGAGGCTGTACATTCTTTCTTTGAGCAGTTTTTGTTTTTTACGATTGGTAGGTTGCTAACCTTGCCAATCACCCTCCAAATTTTATCCCGGCTTAGGACCGACTGTGGTAACCGCAGAGCTACCTAATCCACCTTATAATCACCCCAGGCAGATATAGGCATCGATAAGATTTAAACTATTTTGTTTAATACTGAGCGATAAAGTACATACTTTTTATAATAAAATCTAATATGTCTACAGTGCTGGGAAAAGGTATGGAATCGCCATATTTTTTGTAAGTCTATATCGCAAATTATGAATGTTCTTGGGAAAATCACTTTTTAAAAAAACTGAATTCACAATTAAAACTTTAATGTTCGACTTACAAAGATTCTAGTAACAAATCAACAAATATAAATCAGACTAAATTATAAATCAGACTAAAAATATTGATTTTTACATAGTGTTTTTATAATTTTATAATTGCTGATCTTGAAGTCCAATACGTCGCAATTCAGTCCAGAATAATCGAGCGGTAGTCCCGTGTGGAATCCACGTGGTAGAATTTACTGGATGGTAGCGGTCATTGTACTGTAACTACTCAATCCCTTGAAGTTTTGTGAGGGACGAACAGAACTGTTGAGTTGGCCTCTTCTGGAGTTTTCGACACTGGAGTTGGGTTTTTGTTATTTGTTTTATACCTGTAACATATTTAGAGGCAGATTA